CGAACCTTCTCTGGAACCTGCCCCGGAATCTTCTCCGGAACCTGCTCTGGAACCGTTTGCCGCGCCTCTTCCGGATCCGCTGCGGAACCTCGTCCGGAACCTGCTCCGAAGATCGCTCTGAGTCTGCTCCGATGAAGTCTTTCCTATGGCAGAAGACCCCTACGTTTCGCTGTTGGGGAGTGATGGTTGCTTCAAAATGGAACTGCTTGGATGTATTGGGGCCAGTATGGTAGTTGGTTGGAAGTGACGAGTGCCTATCAGAAAAGGGGCCCGTGTAGATAGCAGCGTGGTGGGGTGAAGAGATTTCTGTTGGAGGATGGGTTGTAGTCACGGATCTATGCAATATTTTTGGATGACGGTTGGTGACACCAAGGCTGGGGCATATAGTTCCTGCCATCCTCCTAGTCATAGTCATCCTTTCAGAGAAGTCTGCTTGGATGTCTTGGGGCAAGTATGCTAGTTGGTTGGCAGCGACAACTTGCTCTCAGAAACGCAGCCCGTGTAGATAGCAATTTCTCTGTGTTTTATGTCTCTGTGTTTTATGACTCTATGTCTCTATGGTTTTGTGTCTCATGCCCCGACTTGAGCCCTGCAGCCGCCGTCGGAAAAACAGCTGGCTTTCGTCCTCCCCCCGTCTCAGGTTTTCATGACACATCACACCTCCTCTTGGAAGGGCTGTGGTGCTTCAAAAGCACGAATGCTTTGGCTGAGGATTTAGCCCGCATGATCTATAGAGCAGACCCTGCTGTTTTTGAGGCTTCCAGGTCCTTTAGAGTCCTTGAGGTCCTTGGCGTAGTCTGAACCCCTGGGCTTAGGGACGCTATTAGGTGGAGGCGATTGCAAGTAGGTTGGAGGCCATCGCTACTAGTAACAAGAAACTACTAGGAACAAGGACGCTATTAGGGGCTCCTGGCATCGCTACTAGGAGCAAGGACGCTACTAGGAGCTCCTGGCCGTACTGCTAGGAGCATCCTTACTACTAGTAACAAGAAACTTCTAGGAACAAGGACGCTATTAGGATGGCCCCTGGGCACCTGCAATGGCAGGCGGGCAACTTCGAGGGCTTCCCTGATGGCCCAGTGGCCGGCCGCAGCCCTGAGGCAACTGATGTCCGGAAGGTTTGGGTCCGCTTCAGGAGGGGGTTGAATGTCTAAGGGATGAGGAGTACTGACTGTTTTTTGAAGTTTGTTGCATTCCACATCGAAGGCTTGCGGGAGCAGGGCCCAATCAGATTGTGCAGGTTTTGGTGTCTGGCAATGCCCAGCAGATGGCCAAGCTTTGGGAAGAGAGGTCTTCCCAGACGCCTGGCCAAGTTACAAGGATGGAATGGACCATGATGGATCCCAATCATGTCAGAGATCATGAGCCCTTGGAAGTTTCACAAACAATCCCTTGAACTCCTTTCACCCTCGTTCTTTGCACGGGGCCTGGAGTGGTACCTGTTAATATTATTTAATATTGTTTTTTAACAATCACACACAGCTATCATCAGCTATCTATCATATCTATCTATCAATCTATCAATCTATCAATTTATCTATTTATCTATCTATCTATCTATCTATCTATCTATCTATCCCTCTCTCTCTCTCTGTGTCTGTGTCTGTGTCTGTGTCTGTCTGTCTGTGACTATCTATCTTTCTATCTAAGGGTCGCCGAGAAGGCACAATCAGGCATCGTTACTGGTGACTGGTTTTGGTCGTGGGAACTAAAGCCTGAGGTTCTTCTTTGACTTGCTCACAACCCGCTGGCGGGTGGTTGAGCTGCTTGAGCAAGTCGCTGCAGCCTGGCCCAGAGCAGAGCCACCCACGCAGCAGAGGCAATGCGCAACAGTGGGCCGTAAGAAGTACGGTACAATCCCAAAAGCGGCCGCAGTGACGCAGATCGATATCGGAGGCTTATATATCAAAGCTTCCCTTCTTGGGTACAGTAGATCAGGTTTTGAGTTCATGGGCTGACAAATCCTTTGCTATCCCTAACTTCTTTTTCTTGTTCTGGCGAGAGGTTGGCGCAGCCAAGCACAAGAAGGATGCTGTTTCTGGGCGGTGGCGATACCACTTATCAGCCAGCCGGTGGCAAGCTGGAAGATGTCCGGAAGCAAACTTCGTGGAAGTAGCAGTTTCGCAGCCTTGCGGAAGATGCAGGCAGCTAACCATAGGGAGATTCCTGACCGATCCTGACCAGTGAATCCTGCAGCTTTGAGCAGTGACCTCAAGCTCAATCAAAAACCATGCATTGCAATTTTCTTGTTATATGTTTCATAGTTTCATGCATTTTCTGCAGAGAGGCGCGGTGTCCACTCTGTCCATGAACCAGGGTTCAACACGCTTGCACAGACCAACATTGTCAAATTGTATATTAACTCACAAGCGCCATTTGTCGCACAATTGAGCGTCCTTTGGTTCGTCAAATGTTTGCATGGTCTCATTCTTTGCTTTTTGATCTGGTTTGGTTTGTTTTGTTTGTATGTTTGTTTGTTTGTTTCGTTCGTCTGTTTTTGTTGAGGGTTGCTGTCAGATGCAGCAGCACACTTAACCAAGGTGGGGCTCTTTCACCGTTCGTGGGCGACAATTGGCCAGGCCGTGGGCAAATGCACGCGAGATCAATCAAGATATGAGGCTTTTGGAGTGCCAATGAGTGCCATCAGCTCAACGATGTAAACATATTCCTTAAGCCAGCAAATCATAGGAGCAAGGACGCTACTAGGGGCTCCTGGGTTTTGAAGCCCACCACTCAGGGGCTTCCGTCAGCAGGGCTTGGATGCCAGAGCTTGGAACTCCCCCTGCCAGGTGCGGTTAGGTTTGCAAAGATTCGATGCGTAGCAAACACCTGTGTGTTGAGCCTTGGCGGTTTTCACAATTATTCATACGTCTTGTCCTACTAGAGCAGACCATGGCCAAAGCTCTTGCAGACGTTTTCTTTGGCACAGTGTGCACCTCTCCATGGACTCCATATGACTCCATTCATTGGTGTCAGAGGGTTCATTCCAAAAAAAGTAAATCTTTTTGATGCACAGGTATGTTGATTTGGCCAGTGGGGTGGAGTGGACTTGAAGTGCTTAGGGTTTCGAGAAGGCTTGGTGTGCAAACGAGCGAGATTGGAGCCCTACAAGCTTTGTGCATGTGAGTGGCTGAGCTTCCACGTTATCGCAAGCGGTGTTTAATGAGAACATAATCTTTCTGAGTGCACGCCATTGACACGGGTGTTTGTGTGCAAGATGTGGTATAATGTTCTCTTCAGGTGAAATATGTTTGCGTGTGTGCTTTGCTGGGTTGGCCTCATGCTGCTCATATCTACGATCCAGTGGACGGGGCGTCGAGCAGAAACATCCAAACCTGTGAATGTCCTCAGTCCTTATGTGTACACGTGAGATTTTGCACGGCTCTATTCTCCAACACAATTATCTTGCAAGACAGTTTCCACATGTTCAGCTGCGAGGATGTCTTTGGGATGCCTGACAACATCACTTTGCTGGATGCAGTCTGGACCTTTACTTGCCCACAATTTCTTGATTCCGGCCAGTTATGCCAGATCTTCTGTAATGTTGGATCCTGATTAGTAAAGGGGGGGTCCCCCCCCCTCAAACAAACAGGGGGACCTCTATAATAAACTATCACCAAAACAAATCTGGATTCCTGGTGAGGGATCTTTTGTAATTGATTGTAGTATTCATTTTCCTTTCATAGATTGTATTCAGCTTCCTTTCTCAGGTGCTTTCTAATTGTTCTCAGCAATCCTTTTGCTTTGCAGCCTCAGATCTTCAGCTCAAGAGAAGCCCCAAGCTTTCATTGGCCTCAGGAGCTAAGTAAAGGGAGATTCCATGTGCATTTTTCCAGTGGAAAAAAACTTTTCACAATAGAGGTCCCAAAAACAAATTTATTATTGAGGATCAGGTGCCTTCCTGGTCTACTACCTTGAAAATTTGTTTAGGAGCAATGTTTTATAAAGGGTTTAATTGGGGAACTGGTGGTTTTGGTCAGCTGTCAGTTTTGAAGAAGCCTAGAGAAAGCTATATCAGCTAATGAATCATAATCATTGGCCTCAGGAGCCAAGTCATTTTTCCAAAACCCTCATTAATTGGGTTTCCAATTTAAAAATTTAGGGCCAAAAAAAAATTAGCATTATAGAGGTACCATTTTTCAAACAGGGGGGTCTGAATAATTTTGGAAAAATTTAGCATTATAGAAGTCCCCTTTACTAATCGTGATCCAACATTATTTGCTGCTCGTTTTCTAGTTGAGACAACTCGAAGCTCGTAAGATCTCAACTGGGCTCAAACCGTGTAGCTGCGCGTGGCTGCGCGAACTTGAGCGTGTAGCTGCCTTAGGTCCTAGTGCAGACCTCCTTAGCCAAGAGTGACTTGGAGGAGCATCCGCCGCTGAAGGCTTTGAAGACCCAGGCGCTGATTGATTTCACCTTCAACCAAGCCACCACAATGTGTTGAGAGCGCCAAGCCCTCCCGAATTTCGGATGTCACATGGGGCATTTGTGAATGTTTGTTGCATGTTGCCGGAAATCTGCTGCAATCCACGAAAGATCGCGAAACTGTTTTTGTCCACCTGAGAAGTAGGCGTCAGGTGTACCGAAGTCAGGTGTCTGTGCATTGGCTTCCTCTCCACCACTCCAATGCGCATGAGTTGCGAGCGAGCCCTTGGGAACGAGTGCATCGAGTAGGGGCTTCTGGGCAGCAGCGGTAGGTAGCGTGCGGTGGTGATGTTTCGATGCCCACACCGAGCAGCCTGCGAGGTGCACACAGTCCATACAGACAAAGACCTTGAAGGCACGATGAGATGGGAATGATTGGATTGAGTATGCAAGACGTGAGGCAACTCTTGGATTGCATGCCATGCGAAATCTGTGTTCCCTTTTGTTCCTTGAGTTTTCTCTCACCAAGGCGTCATGCAACCAAGAGGAAACATCATTTGGTAGCCTCATGTTTTTTTCGGGGTGGGGCTTCCAGACCAGACTCAGAACAGACTAGGTATCGGCAGCTTTTCGAAAGCCAACTCAGCAGTTGACCATCTAAAAACAGATGGGGCAGTCGAGAGTGCCCCAGTAGAAAACTTGAGCAGTTGGAGCTTCTACTGTTTTTCTCCTCAGTGTTGGGACCTGGCACTGGTTGGGCAGGGTGTGGGACAGCAAGCTGCAAGCTTGCCAAACCAGCTGCGCAGCATATTCCGCGAAGGCTTGGTGACTGAAGTGCTGGCTGCCCACTCTGACGAGGCGATTTCTTCAGCACATGTGCTGTGTCAGGTGGAGGCAGCACATTGAATGGATTTTATGCTTGGGGGGAAGGTCAACCTGGAGTCACGTGAAAGATCACAGGGAATACTACCCCATTTCTGGCTTCTTCTACATTTCAGAGGCTCTCAAGTGCTTTGCACTCCTCTGTATTCTCCTCCCATCTACATATTACATTATAATACCGCCCTTTGTTTCCACACTGTTGCGGCTGCGATTGCCTCTTGGGTTGTGCTTTATTCAGCATCTTCTCGCTTTCTTTATTTCAGAGCTTCTGCAGACACCTTTCTTTAACACAATGGGCATAGGGATTTCGGTCTCTTTTTGTGGTTCTCTCGTCGGCGTGGTTAGCCCAGGCAGGTTTGCCTCCCGATGAACGGCCACACTTTGTGCACATGGACCCGGGCAAACTCTTCGAGCGCCTCGGCCGCCGTTCTGCGCCTCGACCGCCGCCTCGGAGAAAAGAAGAGCGAGCGGGTCGTCCAGGCCCAACGAGGGCAAGATCACCACACCACAGCACACCGATGCCTTGTATCAACAGCTTCTTGGCAGCCAAGACTATATAAAGGTAGAGTCTAGACTCTGAACTATAGAGAGGAGCATGACTTAGGGAGTGCGACGAAGAATGACCAAATGCACCGAAGACGCCAGGCAAGTCTGACAGGCCTTTTGAAGGGTGAGACAGGGTAAGACGGTGAGACGCTGCCTTTTGCCTTAATTAGGAGGCCACTACACGAGGCCATGAATTCACCCAGGTTGACAACTCTTCAAATTGGCTTTGCCAAGCAGCCATGGCCTTAGGACCTGGCAGACGGGTCGCAGGTCTGTTGGGCAACCAAAATGGTCCAACCCCAACGGGTGTAGCAAGGAGGATATTGGGTGGAGGCCATCGCTACTAGTAGCAAGAAGCGACTGCAAAGATAGCTGGCTCAACCGTGGAAGGACAGCTGCTCGCAGGTCTGGATGCCTCTCTGAGTGGTGGTCATGCAGCCGCTGGAAGACGGGTCAACGGTTGGTCAGGGTGCCCAGGATTGCAATCGTTTGGACGCCCTTCCTTCCAAGGGGTGGGCAAATGTGTGTAAGGAATCAGAATAGAGCGCAGGTTAATCTGAACCGAAGATGGCAAAGATGAATGTGGGAAGGATGGCCAGTGGATGATTTCAACAGAAGATTTCATTTCATTTCCCTTTATTCTTGTTGCTGCTAGTAACAAGTGCCTCGCTAGTAGTAACAGGTGCCTTACTAGTAGTAACAAGAAGCTATTATTTTAAATTAATGTTTAACTTAATTTCAGGTGAATATGCTGAGCGTCGGAGTCTCGGATTTCACGGAGCTGCTCATTTCCCTAGGTCAGAAACATGGTAATTCAATGGACCAAGCATCGCTACTAGGAACAAGTGCATCGCTACTATATAGTAACAAGTGCCTTACTGCTTGTCTTTTGGAGGTGGGCATTCCTACCATCGTTTGGGGAGATGCACGAGGCCACCTGGACATTGTTGAGGCACGTTCAAGATCGCAGGTTCTCTTGCTCTTGCGATGCTGGCAGTGTCGTTTCTCGCAGGGGCTTTGGCCAGACAATGAGGACCTGAGAATGTGACATCGTGGTTGACATGCGTTGGGTTGTGTTCAGAGATCTTGTCCTCAACCGAACCGTGCGAGGAGCATGGCTGCACTGATCACAACGGTTTGCCTGAAGCCTGCTACCCCCAGGAGCACAAACTGGGCTCGGGAATAAAGCAGCCTTTACCCAGCCTGACCCACACCCAACTAATCCCAACTGCCAGCCTTGATCACTTCAAGCAGGCTCCAAATCAGCCCCAAGACCAACACCTGGCCAAAGGTCATGACGGCCATCAAAGGCTCATCAGCAAGGGGTTCACAGGGGTTTCCAAACATGTACAGGGATTTGTGGTTGGTAATCCTTTGGCATTTCGGCACCTGCGATCTGACATCAAGCTTAGCTGTGCTTTTTGGCAGATCTGACGTGTTGAAAAGCGAGAGGCCACCTCTTTGCGGGACGTGTCCAACACCTGCTCTAGCAGCTCATCCATTAAATGGAGAACGATATAGTGAACTCCCAAAAATCTATATAGGAACCAAATCATTAGTGCGAGCGCTTCTTCAAGGAAGCTTCCCCTTCTTCTTCAAATGTGAGCTATCCTGCGTCCTCTTGTAGATCTTAGCTACCTTTTCTACTAGCTACCTAGCTAGCTAACCTCTACTAGCGGCCTACCCCCCCTTTTGAAAGACAGCTCATTTGCTGCGCATTCTTCTGGAGGAGCTGGTCATTTGGTCTGATGCTGAGTTGCCCAGAGCGCTCAAGGCGGGTCCACGCTGTTTCGATCTTCCCGGTTGTGTCATTCTCTTCGAATGGATGGTGGAAAGCGGGACCTGAAGGACTTGAAGGGTGAAACCCTCTGCATGAAATTGGCAGAAGTGCTTCATTCTGAAGCATTCAAGTGATGGTGATTGGGTTGAATCCGACAGGATCGCTTCTTTCTTATGAGGATAAAGCAGTCATAGGTGTTGAGTGGACATCTGGGCGAGCATTAGGTTGCAAGGTGGTCAATCATGCATCCTTGTTGGTTTTGCCTTGTTTTGTCTGAAAACATTGGGTCACCGTCGCCACCATGGCGACTTTGTCGCGCCCAAAGCTCGTGGCCCAAGCAGCTCAAAAGCAGCTGCCCAGTCAATTGGCAAGTTGCACTTCTTCACCAGCAAGAACTCATAACGCCAAAGGAAGTTTGGAGAGAACAAATCCCATACAGCCAGAGCATTTTACTCTAACACGCAGCTTGCAGGGCTGTTTACCGCGTGGGGCGCAACTTGCGCAGTTCGTGGCACAAGCCTGCCCAAGCCATCCAGACCCATTGCAGTGAACAGAATGTAGAACGCCAACGGCAGCTAGATAACTGACTCATCCATCTGGGCCTTGATATCTTTAGTGGCAACTGCCTGAGGGCAGCTGCATGCACTCGCCATGCTCTTTTTTGACACGGAGCCGCACGAATTAGAGGAGCAGCGTTTAGGGATTGTGAAGTGATCTGCTGATCCCATCCACCAAAAGATGCACAAGTCCTGGTCTAGCAGGCGCCCATCAGGGTTCATTCCTCCTTTGACCTCAACTGTGAGCATCCCTCCTTTGATCGTTGAGCCTTGCTGCTTTTTTCAGTCTACGTCGTCCAGCAACCTCAGGGCTCAGACGCTCTTGGCAAGGTCAGTTAGATCAGATCCGTGCAAGACATCTGTTGGCCAGGGCTGAGAAGAGAGCAAGCTTCCCAGACCGCTCGTTCGAACCCCCTGAGCCCCTGAATGATCAATGATGCACAGCTTCAACCAGAACAATAGGACCTGGACAAACCTGGACCTTCGTCAAAGCATCTCAGGCCAGCAACATATCCCTTTCTTTCAGGACGACGATGAGCCTGACTGGAGAATGCTCCAGCATGCAGCGAAGCTCCTTGCCAGCTGCAAACGCTCCGGCATTGTGCTTTCCCGCGTTCCGACCACGAGGAGACCGTTCGCTCCCGGTGTCACGAGGGAGTCGCGGCACGCGACCCGAGTCGCGGCATGAGATCTGAGGCGAGGGAAGCCTGAGCGAGTCGAAGAGCTTGCCAGACGAAGACCTTCTGTGATGCACACCTTGTCCCCCAATGGCAGGACCGAGGGGTGCGAGCAAAGATGGAATATGATGGAAGATTGGATCATATTTAGCCTGGTATGTCAGGCGACCACGGTAAGCACAACATTTCCTTCAAGATCTTGGAAGTACTTTGTACTGTGAGAGTTCTTCAAGGGTTTCTAAGCTCTTCTGCGTACTTGCATGTAGTATATAATCTAGCTTCTCTTGCTACTACGCTTGCTCCTTGCCAATCTGGCAGGAATGCCATGCACGTAGCAGCCAAGTGTGGCAACCTGGCAGTGGTGAAGCTTTTGCGTAGAGACTGGCCCTTCCTCACGGCTGCAAAGGCGGGACCAAACGCGCTTGTGGTGACTTGGTGTATGTATTCCTATGCGTGGCATGTTGGCCAAACCTTCTTCCTGCAAGTTTGGCACATGCAAAGGCTGCAAAGGTTTCATTGCTTCATCAATTTCATTAATGATTGTCATCAGCCAAGTGGTTGATGATCACCCTGCGCGCCTGGCCCCCCTTGTGAGGACGACATTGGCCTTTTGCCCATTCACATGGCCGCCAGGGACTTGGACGTTTCAGGAAGAAACAGCTGACTCACAGAGGTGTTTGGACGACAACAGCTGACTCAAGAAGGTTGAGGACCAGGTTTTTAGTCTTTTACCCCATAGTTCATAGGTCCTTTTTGAAACACAGGACACAACATGGTGGCAAAAAGCAGGTTTAATGGTTTTTCGTGGAAAGCTGTGCCAGGCTGCTGGAGGTTGCCTCAACGTGGTCGAGTTCTTATGCAAGGAGCTGCCAGAGACGGCCAGTTGCCTCAGCAGACGCATTCAGCTGGAGTTCTGCGCACTTGGGATTCGAAAGCATGTTGCACCTGCAAATGATGTGCATTTGGTAAATCGGCGTTCTTTCATGCTTCCCGCATTCTTCGCCATTTTGACTCTTGACAAATGTCACCGTTGATTCATAGATGATTCTAGTTCAGAATCGGTTCAGAAACCGTACTTTTACAAAATGCTTGGCTAAAGGCAACCAACGCAGGAGGTGTCCCGCTGTTCGTCTAAGACCCTGATAGGTGTTGGCTCACCAATCACCGCAGCCTAGGTCCATGACAGGAGCATGACCCAGGTTACACCGATGCATGTGGCAGGCGGGTGAGCGCAGGGCTGTTCTACCCCAGCAAAAACATCCGTTCGGGGAGATGGCAGAGCCTCACAGATGGCATATTTTGGGGATTGCGCAGGGAAGCAGGCGCACAAGAAGAACCATGGAGCCGTCTTGCGAGGCGCACGAGGCAGCGTCTCCGTGCTGAAGTTCTTCCTATCTTGGTGCCCACAGCTGCTGTCTGATCGGACGCAGGCACGCACCGTGCGTGTACGGCGTGGATTTCTCACTTCAGGTTTCACTTAAAAAAGGGCTCCTGCTGCGAGTGGGCTAGATTGTGGCCTTCCAGATGTGCCTGAAACGGAGGCAAGAACGTCGAATTATGTTGGCTAGCCCAAAATTTCCCTTGCTGGGGGGTCCGGGAACCAACTTGAAGAGATCTATGAGTATGAGGCAAGTATATTCACTTCTTGGCTTTACTGGGCTGCGTGTGCTACGAACCATTTCTGACCATTGTTATTGACCCCATATAGTCCGGCCATGTGGCTGTGACTCACCCCGGAGCCCGCGCCCTGGTGAGCATGTCTCGTAGTCTATTCTGTTCATTTTCGGTAAAAGAGGTTCCCTGGTGCCATGAAGCCATAGAAATATCCACAGACGTGAACCACCAAGCAACCGCCTTTTAGTGCTTTTTGGAGGCCACGTCTGTGCATTCGATTGGTCCCCAACTTCGATAGGTTGTTTGTCCCTCAGCCCGCGGGGCTCATGCAGGTAGGCGAAACTGTTTTGTCTCTAGCGTCCTTGCTCCTAGTAGTATGGCCAGAAGCCCCTAGTAGCTTCTTCCTCATGATGCACCCTTTGTTCATTCATGCTCTGCCACGAGCCCCGGCCCGCAGACTGGCCTTACCGTCTTGCACCTCGCAGCGGTGGAAGGAAGACTAGGAGCGGTGCAGCGACTTGGGCGAAGGACTGTAGGCCGCTTCATGCCAGTGCAGCCCATCGGGCCCAGAGATCCACTGTATGAGGTATCCTTCTCATGACCAGTCGGATGCTAGATTTGTTTCCTTAACGTTTTTGGGTGTATGGCTTGTATGATTTTGTATGGCTGCGATGGGCCCACTGGCGCCAAGGTTCTTGGTGGATTTCTCGGAAGACTTGGTGCTGATGCAGGACATCAAAGGCCAGAGGGACAAAAATTGGATTCGGCTGAAGGAACCTGCTGCCCCCACCTTGACAAGCCCCAAAACATGTTCCGGAGCGACTGTTTGGTCGTTGGAGTTTGGGAGCTTCCCTCTCCGATTTGGATCTGGAGGCAACACAGCCGCTCACCTGGCGACCGCGAGGAACCACGTCCATGTGGCTGCTGGGTGCAGTTGTTCGACGTTCGGGTGACAGCCGTCGTTAGAGCTCGTTTTTAGCTCGTTTCGGCTCGTTGTTCGTTGAGGGACCAGCAGGTCCCAGGAACCACCCCCCATGTGGTGAAATATCAATCGTCAAAGAGGTCGGTGGGCGTGCAGAAACAGCACGGCACACAGACATGAACAGGTTGCTATCACTTATCAAGAAGTTCTGCACCAGTTTGGTGTTTAGTGAGTTTAGTGGTTCCATCCCTTGATACATTGATATCCCTAATTGGACTTTGCATTGGCACCCGAGGTCCATTTCCTGATCAAACGATCGCCTCGCCTCCTCGAGGCCGGGGACAAAAACGCCAGTGGCGCGAAAAGCAAACAACCCGCGGTTCCGACGTGATGTAAATACTGGCTTCTTGATACTAGAAGCAAACAGCCCCTAGTAGCGTCCTTGCTCCTAGTGGTAAGGCCAGGAGCCCCTACTTGTACTAGTGTCCTTGCTCCTAGTAGCGATGCACTTTGTTACTAGTAGCTGCTTGATACTAGAAGCAAGAATGCTTCTGGTAGCGATGCCAGGAGCCCCGTTCGTAGCGTCCGATCGCTCCTAGTAAGGCCAGGAGCCCCGTTCGTAGCTTCTTGTTACTAGTAGTGAGGCCAGGAGCTACTAGCGTTCTTGCTCGGAAAGATGGTAGCGATGCGGCATCGCCCTTTGTTGCTAGCTTCTTGCCCCTTTACCACAAATGAGTTACCAAATATGTCACGCTGTGTTCGTAAGCCGTTCGATGCGCCGAGGTCATCAATCGTGAAGGCTGTTCGTTGTTGCACATGGCCTGGCACTCGCTTCCGACCGTGTTTGGATGAGTGACAATACTACTTGAGAGACCGTGGGCGCCACCGTACTCCGGACCCTCCATGAAATTGCAGCTGCATCGTGACATTGCATCATTCTCACTTGGCTGGTCTGAAGCCCAGGCCGTGCGTTCTGGGTTCGTTGCTTTGGCCAAGCTTTGTGCAGACAAGAACCCAGCGATTGTGGAGATGCAGAGCTGATCAGCTGCATTCAAGGGATGGGCTATATGACTGCTTCAGGGGGTCGACTCTGGTGGGAAGACCCCATATACTTCAGCGATGCCAGGAGCCCCTAGTAGCGTCCTTTGCTCCTAGTAGCGATGCCAGGAGCCCCTAGTAGCGTCCTTGCTCCTAGTAGTAAGGCCAGGAGCCCCTAGTAGCGTC